CTCTGGTACTATCTTCGGTCCCAAGCAAATCGATTCACCCCTCGAAACATAGGAAAAACCACTAGCCCCTCATTTTATCTGTCAAACTTTCATACTTTGACTATATGTTTTAGTATTACTTCTACGTGAAGTCAACGATTTACATAGTTGAAGATGCTAATTTCAAATAACAGACTGTAGTGGTAATTTTTATACGATAGCAAATCAAAACAAACCTTGTGTAGTACTAGAATTTCGACTAGAATGGGGTACGTTAATCGATTTGCTTGGGACCAATAGGTTAGTCAAGTAGTGAGCCAATTTAAAATCATTAGTTTCGTATTGATTGTTGACTCTAGTGTGCATGATGACTTTACGTTAATGCCCTGATCATGTAAGAAGTTGCCCGAGGATGAAATCTATTTAATAATTTTGTCTTCGGTAATTGAATCCTTCTGGTTGGGAGACAGATTAGTTCACAATGTTTTCATTACACGGGGCTTGGATGTCTATCATCAGGAAAGCCTTAGCCATCTGAACAACTTTGTAGAAGACGGAAACTTTATAGATGGACAGGCTTTGATGATATAGCACATACTGAAAGTTCACATTCAAACTTGCGCCGCGCATTGAGATAATTGTGAACTAATTTGTCTACCATTAATAAATCGTTGATCAGTTGAACAAGCTAGCCGAAAACGGCAACTCCCTAGATCAGTGGTGCTCATGCAACGGCCCGTGGGTCAGATGTGGCTGTTGAAACTCCTCAAACTTACTGGAGGTTTTAAAACACTCTTGTCCTGCGAGTTTAGCCAGCCCTCACATCGAGTGAGTGGCGGCTGGAATATGGAAGAAGTAAACAAAAACTCCTCGAGAGAGATAGGGAGAGTGAACTTCAGCGAGAGGATGATTTGACGTGAGGTGCGCTTTTCGAGACTCCGGAGGACTTTTTTCTTCGACACAAGAAGCTCAGAGTTCACCCAGAGTGAGAGTAAGAGCGTGTGATAGAAAACATGAACATGAATGGCAGCAAACCTCACTCTCATTTTATCCCCCTTCGCTCAAAAACTCTGAAGTTCAGTGGAATGATTTGGCAGTAGGCATTCTACTCCTCAGAAAAATGCTACGCTCGGCTCATTTCAAACTCGCGAGCGAGGCTCCATCAAGCCTGCATGTGGCCCGCCGAGTGAGCTTGTAAGGCCCGCAGTATGCTCGCAGACTGACCAAAAATTTCAAAGATGCTTAATGTGTTTTGTAATTTCATAATATTCATTATGCCCAGAATTAGCGTTGGATTTTCCACAGAACTTTTCTGTCGATTTCCTAGGAACACACCTCAGTATTCCCTAATTGTTCTGTCTAAATTCGAGTGAATTCTTCTTTAACATTTTCTTGATAAATTTTTAATCATTCCAATCAGCTTTTTTTTCAAAAGTACCCTAGTTTCTAGAAGTTCTGTGATATTCTCCTCATAGGTCTCTTCGGTGACTCACAAGAAACTATCCTCCTAATTAGAATTCGCCTTAGAATTCCTTTGGTAACTATTATCAAATTTAGATTCCCCTTCAATTATTTCGGATCTCTTTTCAGGATGCCCTTGGAATTCTCAAGAACTTTCGAACTCCTTTCGAATTTTCCCTAAATTCCATTATACATAGGTATTATGTAATTCTATTGGATTCTACTCAATACTCCTATGACACTATCCTCCGACTTCCATGAAATTCTTCTCAAAATTACAGCTAAATTACCTCACCTTGACGCTATCAACAATATTAAAGGTAAGCTTACTGCTAAAAATAATAAGGTTTTAATTTGTTTTAAAATGTCGAAAATATCAATACAGTCAACTCCCCATAACTCGATATTGAATCACGAATTACAGGTCTTTTGTGCGTACCAATTTACTTTAAGTCAGCCTTTAATAGAGTTATCGACTTGTAGAATAAACAATCATTTTTTGTATCGTCTATAACGTCAAGAATAGTACCAAAATACTCCATTTACTTATTGGCCTTATTTACTCATATGATTTCAAGGATCCGTTTATGGATGTTATGAATAGTTAATTCATAATTTTAAGCGGTCCCGGGAAATGTACCGTTCAAGCCCCAGTGGAAACTAATGTTTTTAAATTGGCTCACTACTTGACTAGCCTATTGGTCCCAAGCAAACAATTAACGTATCCCATTGTCGTCGGAATTCTAGTACTACACAATGTTTGTTTTGATTCTCTATGAAAGTTTGACAGATAAAATGAGGGGTTCGTGGATTTTCCCATGTTTCGAGGGGTGCATCGATTAGCTTGGGATCGAAGATAGTACCAGAGCTGAGCCAAAAAGTTGAGCACGTTTCTTCGGGACCTACTAGTCTTAGAGTTACTTCTATGGCAGTATTGAGGGGTGCCGGAACAACTCGCATTTACAGGTTTATGGCAAACATCCATTATGGGTATCGTATATTATGGCTAACATTCATATTCGGAAATTACATTATGGTTAATGTCAATTATGGCAACCATATATAAAGCTCGATTCAAAGTAAATCTGGACGCACGGTTTAACACACCACCACCCTGGTGGTTGGAACAGAAAAACACCATTGACAGGCATTTGTTGATGTTTCATTGACGAAGAAATTGGTTAAAAGTTTTTCTCGATTGATCGACGCATCCCGAAATTACGGAGCATGGAACTTGAGAAAAGAAAATTAATTATGCACAAACATCTAGAGAACCCTTCGTGGTCTGCTTCAAAAATAGCAAAAGTGTTAAAATTCCCAAAGTCAACGGTGAGTCTTGTAATCAAACGTTACAAGGATACTCTGAGTGTGGATAGAGCACAGCGCATCTATTATAAAAGTGGCACTAGGGACAAAGAGCTGAGGAGAAAGGTGCTGAGGTACGTGAAAAGCAACCCAGGTGTCTCCATACGTGATTTGGCAAAGAAATACGATTCCAACTTTTCCACCGTGCGTAACATCCTTTCAAGAGAAGGATATAAGTCTTTTTGTGCCAGTAAACATCCGAATCGCTCCCTGAAACAAAATTTAGTGGCCAAAAAGCGAGCACGATTACTATACGAACGAGTTGTGACGAAATTTGATGGCTGTATTTTAACGACGAAAATTGTACCTGTCAACGGGTCGTGGGGATGTCCCTTCCAGGTATAAATTTGTTTTTGCTGATAAGTTTGCTCGGAAACTAATGATTTGGCAAGGAATCTGCAGTTGTGGCCTTAAAACTAAGGTTTTCATCGCATCTCACACAATGACGTCGAAGGTTTACATTAAATACAATACCAACGTTATGTTTTGGACGGATCTAGCCAGCTGCCACTACTCTAAGGAGGTACTAGAATTGTATGCTGCAAACAATGTTAATTTCGTCGACAAAGAGATTAATCCTCCGAATTGCCCTGAGTTCAGACCGATCGAAAATTATTGGGCAATTGTCAAGCGAAAACTTCGAGGATGCGGTAAAGAAGTGACAAATGCCCAACAAATGCGTTTAAAGTGGAATAAGTACGCCGGTACAGTGTCACCAGCGGCTGTGCAGATCATGATGGCATCGATCACAAGTAAAGTGCGACAGTTCGTTCGAAACGGTGAAATGTAATAACTTGTTATGTATCGTTTGATAGCTGACGTTGACGTTTGACGTTTTGATCAACCGTATATGTTGTTTAATTCTTGAGCTATGATCATTTGGACGCATTCATCCAAATTTACTTTGAATAGGGCTTTATGACAAAACGTATGGGGTGTCATCAATCAAATCACATGCGGATCATTGGTGGTCGGATTTTGGCTTGATTCAAAATAATCCATCATGCGACAGTCAAATCTCATGAGAATTAAAAAAAAAAACAAGCTCACTGATTTGATATCAATATTGAGTGTGCTGAATCAAATTGACTACACCTTGTCATGGTGCGGGTGCCCCGAGAATCTGACTAAGTCAACAATAAATTTAAATTTGATAAGAAGGAATCTCACCATTGGAGCACAAATTCAGGTTTTTCACCAATATGATGATAAATTTATGGTAAATCTCCATGGGACTCTTATTTTTGATAATTTTAATGATTAGTTTGAAAAGTTAGAAGCACAATTCTTAGCTCCTGAGTTCAAGTTTCAATTTTAAAGCCGCAGGATCAAATTTCAAATTGTTCATCAATAAAATTTTGCAATTTGATCAACTCAATATGTGTTTAGATAGATAGATAAACTAACCAAAACACAACCCATCTAGCTCCGCCACAAGTGTCGATTTTTGGTGGTTGGCGGTAGTTGTATGACGCAGCAAGCGCTGCATTTTTGAATAGAATATTTTTGGAACCGTTCGAAACAACAACTCTCGCGACCATCAACTTGTTCGTTCGGATCGTGATGGGTCATGTGAAATACACAAGGGAAATATTCGATACTCAACGAAAATAAACTGCCATTGCTGTTGTGACATACGATGCGACGTTTTGGATTCAGAGTGCATAAAAGGAAAATATTTCTATTTTTCCCATGTCCACTTAACACCGCGAATCATGTATCATCACACGACCGATGCACTCACTATCTAATGAGCCTCGCTAACCACAACAATCGCTGACCGTGGCAGAAGCACCAGACTGCATCAATCGGCTTGGTGTGGACGCGCTATCAGTGAGTGGTGATACATAAATCGGTGATTTCCCAGATTTTCGCACACTTGTTTTGATTTGCAAATTCTGTACATGTGTGTTCAGCCTTCCCAAAACAATATGTTTAGTCGAAACGGCGCGCTTGCCCGTGGCAAAGAAACATTTTAACTCATCATCAATGAAAATATTGCTAAAAATAGAGCCAAGCTATGGGAGAGCGATCGTGGATTCTAGTACTGCACGGCTTACACATATTCGCCAATGTCACTCGTCGTCGTTGTCGTCGTCGTCGGCACATATCTTATCACTAACTCTAGAAAATGTCATCATCACTTATCACATTCTACTGTCGTTTCACTGTTTGTGCTAAGTACAGTAACATACCTTTTGCTTCAGATATTTCACGTCATACTCGATGGACGGTGACTCCGGATGTACGTACGGGTAGCCTCCGACGGCGATGGTCATGTCGGGATTGTTCTTACTCCGTAGATACTCGACCAGGTCGGACGAGTGCTTGAAACGCTGGTTTTCACCGACCGTATCGCCTCGGATCACAAACAAGTTCCAATTGCCCATTTCGACGAACTTGTCCACCTGGGTCTCGGTAATGTTGTAACAGGATATGTGATTCATCACCGAGCAGTGTGGTACAATCTTGGCGGTCATTTTCAGCATCGGTGTGTCCACGAATCGCTGATACTGAAGGTTATGGTCCGAAATCCATGGCAGCGAGCAGAACATCGGCTTGGGGCTCAGTCGGCTAAGATCCAGTACAAAGTCCTCTTTGGGGATCAACTCGATGGAGTAGCACAAACGATCCGAGCTGGTCCATTGCTGGATCACCTGCTTCAGGTTTCGGCTGTTCTCGTGACTGTGCATGGCTTCTGCCGGACTGGCCCTGCCTCGGTTGTATTCGCCATTGGGAGGGTCGGACTCGACTGTTAAACGATGCATGGTGCTGTTGGTGGCCTCTCGCCAATGACCGTCTGTGGTGAACGATAATTTTAGACTGATGTGAAGGCGTATGATCTGTCTATACGTACCAACCGAGCTGGTCACGCGTTTCGTATACTCAGTCGGAGGAAAACTAACAGCTGACGGTTGTTGGGGCTATTTGAGTACGAGAGAGGCACCGAGCGAACCAAAGAGAGTCGGTGGCTAGCATAACGCGAACAACAAGTGTACCTACCGTCACAATACTATATAGGAATAAATGAATAAAATTTACTTTGTCTCTACATTCGACGACGATTAGAGTACTGTTCATAGTAAGCTGACCAGCAGCGCTAGCCATCAATCTTATCAGGCGCGTTGATAGTACTAGAATGCGCTCGACGAAACATCCCCACAACAATACAACTACATCGACCGCGAATGCGTATTTTGGTGTCGCTAGCTGCATCGTGACGGCGATGATCATTATATCAGTGCTAACATTTGAAAACGGCACAAAAGCCATTTGTAAACAAATGGTTTGTGGGCCCTTTACTCACTACTTGAAGTACACCCACGCGACACAACAGCAACATCGGGTAGGGGAAATTTGCCCCTTCCTGACGATGCTGTTGGTTTGCGTGGGCGTTCTTCGGGTAGCGAGTAAAGGGCCCACAAACCATTTGTTTACAAATGGCTTTTGCACCGTTTTCAAATGTTAGCACTGATATGGTTCTCAGTTCTGTTTTGTTCCTACTACCATCATACGTCTAATGCTTTTTTTTATCGTCCTTGACATTACCCTCCCGTATGGTATAAGTAAGGTGGAGAGGGGGTTTGGTGACTGGTGGCAGCGAACGGAAAACGATCGAAATAATCGAAAGTCGTTCTTGCTTTGCCTCGTGGATTGAGAGACGATGCGGAGAGACACAACTACTAAGTAGCCACTGGACGAAACAGATGCTTCTTCTGTTTGATGTTACGTAACAGCATCAACAACAACAACAACAACGTAGATGATAACTGCTAATTATATTTATTTAATCGGTTCTCTTCCAGACGAGGATTCGAGCTTTGCTATCAAATCGCACTGCGGCAAAGGCAAAGTTCCAACATTGGAGGACCTGTTCGCAAAAGCTAGGTATGTCATTTGATGGTACTTAGATGCAATTTTCCTATAATCTGAATTCATCGATATTTGTAGACAGGAGTTTCTCGAACTGAAACGTCAGGATGGCAATCGTTATCAGTGTGGACAGAGCAGTCCCTTGAGTTGCCACCAGGAGGATAAGCCACGTGGTAGCATCAGGGAATCGGTCGTTGACTTAATCATGCACTGCTTGAAGGATATGGTCATTGATAAAATGAATGATCACCAACATTAGTGTTTTGTGTTTTGTTTGCTTGTTTGTTTGTTTGTTTGTTTGGTTTGTCTTTACTGAGTAGAACGCTTCAGCTTTAAGACTGATGCGTTTTTATACATAATAAGTAGGTATATGTGTATCATGTTCGAAGTTCCATCGTATCCTTTGATTATTCATATTGAAACAATGTCAATGTTTATGAATGCTAGTTTTAGCATGTGCACTTCTATTACTACCTTAACACTATTGCAAATATTTTCATTTTGCCTAGCATTTTGTATCATTGCTTTTTCGGAAGTGAAAGAATGCGTTTAAAGTTTCCAAACGTGCATTAACAGTATTTGGCAACACTGTTCAAAAATAAAATTTTCAGATTTAGATTTGTTGTCCAAATTTCTTATGCTTAGCTTCATTCGGTCCGGAAATATTAATAAAAGAAAGTATACTAAAGTACTGTAACAGTGCTTTGTTGTAAATTACGAAAAGTAGAAAATTCTCCCTTGGAAATGTAGATTTTTAAAAGTTTGTGTGACACAAATATCTCCTCCAAATTTGGTCCAAACCGGAAGAGGTCAATTTCACTTTTGTAATTTTTCTCGGTGACTTGGCGTGGGATGACCCATATGCAATTACTTGTCAAAAAATCACACATAGGGCTTAGATTTAATTTTGGGCCTACAAGCACCGACAAACCGACATGAATGACCATAGAAATCACCACGAAATTTCTGCTCAAAGCACACTACCGACATCTGCTCCGTGTTCGCGGAAAACGTTGATCTAAGCACAAACGAAGTGACAGACGACTAACTGGCGAAGAAATCCCTTTAAATAATGTGGTTCACTGTAATAGAATTTTCTTGGAAGCTTGTGCCATCATCCACCAGATGGGTTAGTTTTTTTGTTTTGATTTGAACGAAGTTGATTTTGTGTACAATGATTCTTTGACAGTGTGCAAAGAGTGCGTATCATTTTGTCATTTTTTTATGCATTTCAGTTTTGAGTAGAGTGAAAAAGATAGAACCAAAACATTCTGGTACATTTGGTGAAAATGCTAGTTCAATCTAGTAGTAGTGTTGCCATGTGGTACAATCCAGTAGTAGTGGTGTTGCCATGTGGTACACTGAAAAATTGAAATAGCAGGTTAGTCACCAAAGTTTTCGAGCCGCTCCGTCTGTCACTTCGTTTGTGATCTAAGTGCAAAATGTATGGATTGGCTCGTGTCTGATCTATTTTGGACAAGTTATTTTTATCTAGATGAAAAGTTTGTATGGTTTTGACGGATGGTATCGCTGAACATTTCAATCGGCCGTTATAGATTTTCGAGCGAAAGTTAAGTTTAAGTTTCACGTCGGTTTGTCGGTGCTACAAGCGCAACCCTACTTTTATCCCTGCGCTTTGGTCAGAGAGCATATAGGGCATCGTTGGGCTAATTTTGTCGTGGCACATTTCGAGTATGAGAGAGTGATTGCAGTCAGATCAAAATTGCCAGGGGTACTGTCGCGGATTACCCGAAGTTGCGATAGTGAAGGCACAGGCAAACAGGCGGTGAAGCACGGCATGAAATACGACGCGTTAGAGAAACAGTCAAAAGGATTCCAAAAGAATAAATCAACGTCAAGATTACACTAAATACGCGCTAGGTTTGAAAAGAATATTTTCGAACATGGAAGCACCGACAAACCGACATGAATGACCATTAGACTGATGCAAAATTTGACTTTTTCGCTCCACAGTGCTTAAATGGTTTCAAATCGGGTCCTGATTAGCCTCCCAAAGTTACAACTCATTTGGTTAGAAACAGACTTCGCACAAGCCATTTGAAGTTTACATGTAAATTACTATGGGAAATCTCAACTTTTTGTTCATTGCCTTCTAGTCTTTTTCCATATTGAGCTCCAAAACAGTTAGCCATTCTTATAGAAAATTTTCTCAGCTACATTTGTGCTGAAGATCGTTTCTTTGTAAAACGAGACAGGAAAAAAGTTATTTATTATTTAAGAGATTGCTAAACTTATGACATGATCAAGCAGCTGCTCTGTAGGCAACACTGTATTTTGCAGTGTGACATAGTAGCCATGATTTTTGTGTCCTATTCAACGCCCCAGAAACACCAATATTGCCTGCTGAGCAATTGATTGAGCATGATCATAAGACATCAGCGCATTGAACCATTGATAACTTTCGATCCTTGCATTTAATCAAAAAGTGGTCTTCAGCAAAGTTGTAACAGGAAAAATTTCCTACAAGTACAATTGAAAGCTTTTGAAGCCGACCGATATGGTGAATTATTAGATAGACATGAACAAAAATCTTGATTTTACGATAGTAATACCACAAACGAAGTGACAGACGACTAACTGGCGAAGAAATCCATTAAAATAATGTGGTTCGCTGTAATAGAATCTTCTTAGAAGCTTGTGCCATCAGCCACCAGATGGGCTAGTATTTTTGTTTTGATTTGAACATAGTTGATTTTGTGTGCAATATGATCTTTGACAGTGTGCAAAGAGTGTATCATTTTGTCATTTTTTAATGCATTTCAGTTTATTTAGAGTAGAGTGAAAGAGATAGAACCAAAATATTCCAGTACATTAAGTGTTGCCATGTGGTACAATCCATTAGTAGTGTTGCCATGTGGTACAATCCAGTAGTAGTGGTGTTGCCATGTGGTACACTGAAAAGTTGCAATAGCAGGTGCGTCACCAAAGTTTTCGAGCCGCTCCGTCTGTCACTTCGTTTGTGGTAATACCCATACAAACTTCAAATGGTTTGTGCCATCTCAGTTTCTCACCAAATGGGTTCAAATTTTGAGAGGTTAGTCAGGATCCGATTTGAAATCGATTAAGTATTGTGGAGCGAAAATTTCAAATTTTGCATCACTAATGACCATAGCAAAAACAATAAAATTTCTGACAAAAGCACAGCTGACATCTGGCTCCGTGTTCGCGGGAAATATTCAACTAAGCCATAAACCCGCATGCAAAATTTATGAATTGGTTCGTGTCTGATCTATTCTAGACTAATTATTTTTATCTAGATCAAAAAATCCTATAGTTTTGACAGTTCGGATCACCGCACATTTAAATCGGCCGTTTACGATTTTCGGGCATAAGTCAGAATTAAGTGTCATGTCGGTTTGTCGGTGATGGAAGTGTGTATGTAATAACGATATCCATTTGAAAACGGTGATGCAAAAATGCGGGGCTTATTGTGAGTAACCTCGGAATGGGCGTGACTTTCCACACATTCTGAAATGGGTTACTGGATCTGCGATAGAACTATCACCGACAAACTTAAACTTAAACATAACTCTTGATCGAGAATCCATAGCGGCCGATTCAAATGTGCAGCGATCCCATCTGTTAAAACCATAGTATTCTTTTTATCTAGATAAAAATAATTTGTCCGGAATAGATTAGACACGAACCAACTCATACATTTTGTAACCGTGTTCGTGGGATAAAGATTTTCCGCGAACACGGTAGCAGATGTCAATTTTGTGCTTTGATCAGAAAAGTCGTGGTAATTTGTATGGCTGACCTGGCCACCTAAACCGTACGGAGAAGGAGAGGGAGATAACGTCGAAGTCACCAACGAGGAACTCGTAGCAGTGGCTAAAGGATTGAAGGTGAAGAAAGCTCCCGGTCCGGATGGAATCCCCAACTTTGCGTTGAAAGCGGCGATCCAGGCATCCCCGGACATGTTCGGGATGGTGCTGCAGAAATGCCTGGACGAGGGTCACTTCCCTGACAGGTG